ACTGTCAGCTCAAGATCTCTTATGCTACATGCTACAGTTTGACCGTTTATAATGCTAATGGTATATTGAACTATTTTAAGTACTGTGATGAGACCCGCTGCAATAAAAATCACTGCAATAAAAATTTTAGTTTCACTCACCTCTATTCACTTAAACAGCCAGTTTATTGAAGAACCTACAAACAACTTTTCATATGTTTTGTTCTGTTTTGGGATTTCTTGAGACTGGTAAAGGTTAAAGGTTTTGTTGTTTGTGCTCTTCATTCTGTTCATGTGATGCCATCATTGTAGCAGTGTGTCCCTGGACAACAAAGCAAAGCTTTCTTCTATTGCTGTTAACTCAAATGTGTTACTGAGAACATCTTGTTCTTACATGTTGTCATATTCACAATTTTATTTGGACCACAGACTGTATTGAAAAGATGGATATTCTTACCTTGATGTCAACTATTTAATTTCTGGACAAACATGACCACATTGTAGGTCCTGGACATTATTAGCAGGTATTATTGTTGCTGGGATGTTCTTTCAGAGGTCGATGTCTTTATTTTGAGCATGTGCTGAAACACGTGAAATTTAATTGGCATTCAGTAATAGACACCATAACTCAATTTTACAATTTTAATCACAAAAGCTGAAGCACAAACTTCTTGGTAAGTCATTATTTTAACAAACCATATTACTTGTTAGATCATTTTTCAATCGAGATGGTTCTCCAAAGGCACCAACAGCACAAAACTGCTTAAATAAGTAATGATGTATGAACAAAATAGAAACAAATGTGGCTAAAATTGAAGCTGTAAAGCTGGGGTATTTTTTATGTTCATAGAATGTAGGACCTGGATTTTATGTAATGGTTACTTTTGTTTCTGTTAATGAAGGATTACATTAAAACAGTAATAAAGCATTCAGACTAGTTAAATAACATCCAGACTTTGACCAACAGACTGTAGGAACAATACAATGTTGTGGAAGATTTGGCTGCCTTTAACACTTTCCTAATCTGGTGAAAATCTGGTGCAAGCATTTTATGGTTTTCAGTATAAAGTCAAGCTTTCTTTATACTTTTGACCAGTAATTTGTTTTTGGTCTGTTTTTGTTACAAAACATTAGCTGGCTTAAGCGATTTCCCAAATCAAACAATGCATCCTAAACTCTCCTGAAGGGTGTTTATTACAGGTCTTTTGCACATATTGATGTTGTATAAATCTGGAGCAATATGCCATTAAACAGATCAATAACACACCCTTGAGGAAAAGACTGATTACAAAAAGCGTTTCCTGCTGTGGCTACTACGAATCGTCTGTAATTAAACTTGTGTATTTTCTTATCTGCAGCTATCAAAGTGAACTGCAATGGTTTCTGCGGCATCACCAATAAGGTCTATGACACAGCATGGACGATGGAGGAGCAGTACTTCAACAGCACGATCTCAGTGGCAGACAAAGGTGTGCTTCCAAATGCTAATTAAAACCGTGTGCAAATGTCCAGTGTCCACAAAATACTCCCTTGTGAGATGGTTTGTTGTGATAATTGAGACAAATTTGCAAACGTAACTGGTTCATGTGACAATATGTGAAGATTACAACGTCTCATTCTCCACTGCAGCCTTGAGGCATATCTGACTGTTGGGAAACAACAGAGCAACTGTTACTGTTTCCATCGAAGGATTTTATTTGTGCTTTGTGTCCCAAATAGGTACCCTGAAAGAGGGAATGCACACATTTCCCTTCAAGTTTCTCATACCAGGTAGGTGAAGATGATGGGATATTTCTGCCTGTGTTTATTTTCCCCTCGCATTTCCCAGTCTGTCAGACATGTTCTGGCATGTTGTGAGGATGGGACTGGTTTTCTTTTCCTCCCAAAATGTTAAAAATATATGTATACACACACACAAAATATGCATGCTTTTGCTGTCTCGTCAGTTCGCCTCAACATATGCTCGTCATATTCTGTGATATGATTTACTCTGACATGTTTGATGAGGATTAGTAATGTTGCCACAGCACCTCACTGTCTTGCCACATGTATCTCAAACTGCGTCTTGGCTGTTTGTTGAGGTGAAATACGTCCACACATGACTTTGTTTACGCTCAGCCATTGTGAGTGCGCACGCCAGGGGCTGCGACACATTTATTCAGCCATATTTCGCACATGACTGTGAAATGCGTCAGAGGAGGTAGTTCCTTCCAATTTAGACGATCCAAATGATGTAGTTTCTTTCCACTGTGTTCCTGTTAATGAAAAACTACAAATTTACCCCAAAGTACTAAAATGGTGATATTTTAATATGAGAATCGATTTTAGAGCATAAATTACTGGTATTGGAAGAATCGATATTTCAATATCAATCCGCACACCACTAGTGAAGGGTTATTTCTCATGATGGTTGGGGTGGTTTT